TGGAGGGAAGGGGGAGAACAAAGAAATCAAGCATGAGCAAGCCCTACTGAATTACTCCACTGACTTTGCATTATTTAAAGGGAAGTGCTGTTAGTACAGAAGTCAGCTGTTTAACTATTGGAATTCTGTACCTTGGCCTGCTTTCAGGGGACTTCAGAACAGCGTGACTAGACTTTGTATCTGCTTGTAGCACATGGAAAGAAACATTCACATATTTGGTACAGTAGATTAAATGAGAGCCAAAAATTCTATTAAGTAAACTTTGACCTACATGATATGAAACCTCTTTTGAGCTAGCAACTGACAAAAAAGGAAAGAAACCTCCAAGGAAACCAGTGTACGTCAGCAAAAAGGAATGCCTAGGACTGTTATATGTCCACAGACAGCACTTTGAAGGTTGAGTAAATATAAGGAACTTTTTGATAACAGCTGGAAGGCAGCACTCAAATTGTGTCAGAAAGATGAGAAAGAACTATATGGGAGTCCAGTATACTGACACAGCAGGATCAGTCAGTATTTTAAGGCAATATCACAAAATAAATTAAGGAACAGAAAACTGGTATTAAATGTGCAGAACTAGCAGCCATTTATTTACTAATATGGATTTTGGTCTAGAAATTAAGTGCTTAGTTATGTCAGTCCCTATGTAGGAGAGCACTCAGGCATGTGCTTACTGTTGAATATGTGCTTTAGTCCAATAGACCATGTAGGACCTTGAACATTTGCCTAGATCTAAGTGCATACTTTGGTAACTTGCTGAACTGGGACCATCTGATCCCACAGTCCTTCCAGAAGAAGACGGGCCAAATACTGATAATACCTGTAGAAGTGGTAGTATTTCCTTGTAATTCTTTATCTCATCTTTGTCTGTGATAGCATGTTTTGTATACTGCAGCACTTAAGAGGACAGCAGCAATTTTAAATCTATTGGTTTAAATTTAGTTTAGACATCAGATACTTCTCAAAAGTAGAGTCCAGAATCATGGTTACTGAAGAAGAATATTTTTTCCTAAGTTTTTCTGTGTATTTGCCAGATCTGTTGTACAGCACTTCAGGTAATATTACGTTCTATTTATTTCGTACAAATTTTAAGTATACTTGTTGCTTATGTCCTTCAAATACCTTTGAAAAACTTATTTGAAGAAAAAAATAAAAACATTTGACTTCACAATACTAATGGTATCTTTTTATGAAGAATGAGCATTTAGTATGCCATGTAATACACGAACATTTAAGTCTACAAATAAATGACAAGTTTTGTTGCTGACCACATCACTGATGTGTTAGCAATTCCATTCCAAACTTGTTACATGTACCACACAGGGGTTTTAAAGAGCTATAAGATATTACATCCTCCTTCATAAAGTTATTATTCTGTCAGAAAGAAAAACAACTCATAAATGTCTTTGGAATGGCTAAAGTACAAGTAATTTTGCAGTACACTGAGATTTTTCACCTGAAAGATTCCAGAATTCAGGATTTGTATTAACTATTTTTGCATACAATAGTGCAGGAGAAATATTGCTACCGATTACTAAATAATGCAGGCAATGCTTCATTCAAGGCATTCAAGGTATTTTATCAACTTTATAAATGGTTAAATGCAGACACTGAAGGGTAAAATAACTTCCATGTAATCACACAACAAGATACTATCTAGGTGAGAATAAAACTCAGAATTGACAACTTCCAACTAACAAAAAAAATGTGTGTAAGTCCCTGCTTAACTTATTGGGAAGACATCATACACAAATAAATCAGTGATGTTATTAGATGTTAGAGTGCATGGCTCTAGTTCCTTTACTTTATGTACCGTCAAAGAAAAATCAAATGTACTCCTGTTGAAATGAATGTATTTACCAAAAAGTCATAAATTTTGTACAATAAATGATACTGATAAACTAGTAGAACACTATATAACCCATTGCATGTCACTTTTTTTTTCTTATGTCTTGAATAAAAAATAATTAAAGAAAGAAAGCAAGCATCAGATTATATAACTGAGCTAAATTTTAAATGGCAAAATACAAACAATGCTGTATAAGTACAGGCTCAACACAGACAAATTGGAAAGAATTGGAGATGAAAGACTTAAAAAACTCCCCAAACAACCTCTAATAACCAGTACCTATTTAGCTTTAATCATGACAAAGCTAAATGTTAATCTTATTAAACAACAAAATTTTTGAGACCTTTCAAACTTTACATTTCATGTGACTATTACCTTTATAACCCCTTCATATAACAAAAAATGCCACTACCAGTCATTAGTCCTTCTTAGATCATTCTGACCAAAATGTAACACTGAGAAAAAAAACCCAAAACAATAAGTGCTCTACAGGGTAGATAATTGGCTTCAGTAAAGAACAAGGACACTTGTTTTACTAATGAATTTTACAAGTTAAAGACATTTATAGTCTTGCTACTCACGGAAGGAAGATTTCTTCTATCAAGTTCTGTTGTTAACTCATGGAAGTTCTTGACCAACACGTTTTCTTATTGATTCTAAATTTTGTCACCTAGAGGTAATCCTATCTACCTAGCATGAATGTCATGAGGAGCTAACATTTGTAAGATTCTTAGAAGTGCAAAATAATCCGGAAATCTTCTATTGGATTGGTAGAATTTTTAAATAGGTAACTTCTTTTCTTGGTACATAGGTCATGATAAGCCAGATGAAACCAACCAATGAACTGTCCATCCTTTTTTTTATTGTTAGCAGTAGCCAGGGAATCAACCAAACTTTTATGCCTGTTAGCTGCTATGTAATACCATTTAAAGGAAAATTCTTGAACAGAAGCTTTTAGAGTGTTTTTGCCTATGACAAATTGGCAGATTAAGGAAAGAAAGGTAAGCTTAACTAATCGACTATTTGTACCTACAGTTCAGCTGGATCCATTAGAAAGAGTTACATCTGCGTACCCAGGAACAGAATTTGCCCTTCCACGTTTTAAGTAGGAGCAAGACAAAATGTGGAACAGCTCTGGGTATCCCACACAGTAATGACACTCCACATTTTCTCATGACTGCTAAATTTTGAAAGTATTAGGCTAAGACAACCTGATTAACAGACTTTGGAAAAATCTCCAGGGAAAAGCTTGTACTTTATAATACAACTCAGTGAGTGAAAATAGTTTGGAAAAAAACCCCAAAACTCTGTGCCTTGATATTTATAATACTTTTCAGTGATACACAGAAAACAATACATACACACATACAAACACACACACAAATCAAAATATTACTGTAATCTACTCCTGGCTTGCTGTTCTGTTTAGTCTTATGAAACAAATAATTTAGCAGGCAACATACCATATAGAGGCTCTCAGTGGATTGCAATATACTAAGTACGCATGTTTTTCTTTTTGTTTAATTTACAGTCCCTGGAAAAAAAGACATTTAAAAACCTATTGTCTGGATTTACAAAGCTCATAGGGATAGCTAGTTCTTAGCTGACTGTATTGCTGGCTGAAATGTTAGACATACTTTACCACTAGAGGTCTTTTCATTTACGGATGTACTAAGGCCTCAAGGGTTCTTCATCAGGAGACATATGTTTTAACCACAGAGCATTGCAAAATGCAGTGTTGTCTTCAAATTGACAACTGCAGGACAAGTATATCAATATTAACCTAGAATTTGCTGTATAAACATTGGAGGTAATACGTTCCCAAAGAGAAACTGAATTTTCATCTTTTTTGATACCCTTATCCTTTATCTAGCTTTAGTAATTTCTTAAAACATAAACTCCTGCCAAACTCTGAATAACAGATTTTTGGTGATAAAACTGAAGGGGGGAAAAAAAAAAGCAAGAAAAAAAATTGGTAGAGCTGTCTGAATTGAGTTACTTCATTTTTTGGCTCTTGGTGCAATTTTTCTTTACTTTTTTCCATATTTTTGGGTTCTTAACCAATGTGGGTAATTCTGTAAATGGAAACATTTAATGCTGAAAATGTCAAACTAAAACATTTAATCTTTTCAGAATTTTACTGTCTTAAACCAAATTCTACCAGAATTTTAAAATAGATGTAGTAAGCAGGCAACTACTTTTGTTTGTTTGTTTTTGGTTTTGTGATTGCTGTTCCTTCATGTCTAGTTGGTCATAAAAGGGCAACTGCACATCCAACTGGGTTGCATACAAACAAGCCCAGGAAATAATGGGTCTGTAATCTTGGGCCGGGGAGGGGGGGTGGGGAGGAGAGTGTAAGAGTTATATGAATGAAAATATCACCCTAGACCTGAGTGAAAAATCCAAATTATTTGCCAATCAAATAGTTTCTACAGATGCCCAGTGCCAACACAACACAGAGAAAAATCGTGTTATGTCAGTCTCATTTCCTATCTTGTACAGAGCTATAGAACAGAAAATCTTCTGCTTGTACATGTACCATCAGGCATCTTCCTATTTTTGCTGCATTTCAATGGTTATTTTGTTACCTTATTTCCTGCTTCCGACTAGTTTTTGAGTTTGCAGATCTTACAGCCTGTGCAGTGGTATACAGTATTTAGTTCCCCTTTGGAACACACTCTGGCTTCACATAGTGGCTTGGTGTAGCCTTTCTCGTTCGAAAATACTTGCGTACACCAGAGGCATGATCTATGATCTTTAAACACCGGCTACCTCAGTCAGCACAATCAGTTTTCATCCAAAAGCTAAAGGGCAAATTTCCTTTCCAAGGCTTCTAAATGCCATTCCTCCCTCTCCATTTTCAATGCCAAAACAGTTCACGAAAATCTTTTAATAATACTTTTCTAAGAAGATACAATTTTGCTCAAATACTTAAATAGCAACCACCCATAGACAGAGATCAAAGCTGGCCATTTCCAGGAATATCTTTCGAAGATGTATCTGAGAGCAGGGGCTTAGAATAGATACACACAGGCAGCCTCTACAACTGTCATCGGTGATTCAGTTAAAATAATGCAACTTAATATGATTGCTGCTGAGATCTTTGCGTTTTCTTTCTAACATAAAAACTTTCCATTTGTGTTTTGAATAGGTAAGCCTACAGGGTATGGATCCAGCAGTAGACGCTTACACCACAAGGGAATAGTGGATGAATGCTGCTTCCAGAGTTGTGACCTGAGGAGGCTGGAGATGTATTGTGCTCCAATAAAGCCACCTAAATCTGCACGCTCTGTACGTGCTCAGCGCCACACTGATATGCCAAAAGCACAAAAGGTAGGCCAGGCCGGGGGGTGGGTGGGGGGGAAATAAAAGCTCTACCTACCTATTTCAGGGAAGGAGAATTCTGTCAATGCTGGTAACATAGCAAACCACTGATGTGTTCTGCCTACTAGGGACACTGAGATGTAGTGGGTTTTTGGGAAATAGTGTCCATGGCAGGAAATAAGTAGGAAATGGTGTGTTCTATCTATCTCATCTCTTAGAACACTGAATAAAACATGGAATTGCTAAGCTAGTAGTTGTGAGGTTTTATCCTCCTACTGGGTAGTAAATGACAAGTACTCACATCATCCAATCATAAATAGCACCTAAGACTTCTTTCAAAAGAGAAACCAAACACTGAATGTTTAACAACTCATCTATCCAGAACCTCCTCACTCATCCTTCCTTCCCAGGAAGAGGTGGAGTGAATGATCAAGAGGGAAAGCAGAGCCCTTCTGCTATTCATTTTACATGTAAATGAACAAATTATTTTTTTCTTTCCTCATTATTTTAGCTTTTTTTAAAAATTTATTTATCTATCAGAACTATAACTGGATAGTCACTGCAATCATTACATACTTCATTTTAACTATTTAATGTTTAATATGTATATTTGCCAAGTGCTTCAAATATTCATTGGTATTATTTGTACAGTTTTGGAGTTCAGAGTATCCAGATTTTTGGTCCTGTTGTACTAGATATACTGTACATATATGTAGTTAAATCTCATCTCTCCTCAACAGTGCCTATAGATCAGAAAACCCTTCTTAGACTAGAATACCATTAAGCTCATGTCCAACTGTGTCTCCTGTTCTGAACATCTGGTTCACATGTTATCTGTCATCTGCTGTAAGCCTTTAGTGATATATTTTATTGCTGTTGACCCTGTCTGTCCTACACATATGTTGGCCCCACTCCTGCAGTTATCTGAAAATTTTCTCTTGTAAGAAATGGAACTGCATGAAATCCTAAGATTTCATAGGAATTCAGGAAACAAGCACTATACACTAATTTCCTTAATATCATCCTTATGAAAAGAACAATTGTAATCGTTCCAGCATGCATTTCTTTTCTGTGAGTCAATCCATAGAATGGAATCCTTTCACCTCTTTCTCAAAAGTTTTCAGCCTTTTAAAGTAGTGGCTGTATGATTCTTCCTGGGAACTATCACCTTAGCCATGAACATCTCAAATGGCACACATGACAAGTAGCAAGTCGTCTTCACGTAGAGCTCACTAGAGCCAAGAGAACCCGCAGTTTATTCCTATCTGGGCACAGATATATTTAAGGCTTGTGGAAAAAAAAAAAAAAGAAAACAGGCCTGGCCAGTAATTTGTGTGCTCCTTCCAAAATTGTTGCTAAGGTGCTGGGTAAAACATTCTGTAACTTCAAGTAAAAAGAGACAAGATACCTGCCAGGTCTCTGATGGACCTCCACACCACTCTCCTTGGAGGACTAAGAAACGATGTCATTCTTTAGGCAGCTGTCCTCTTCCGAGTTCTAAAGATAGGCAGGAAAACACTTTTCTCACAAAACAGGAAGGAACACAAGAAAGGCCTTGCATCTTTCTGCAGCAGCAGAGGAGGTAGTGTTCAAGAGGGGATACTAGAAGAAGAAAAAAATTAGGAGGAGTATGTAGTAATTGAGAGAATCTAGTTTCCAGGAAATTAAAAGGAGAAAAAAAATCAAGGGGTGAAAAGGACAGTAAAAGGACAGTGAGGAGCAGAGGAAAAGAAAGGGGAGCAAATTAGATCAAAGAAGCTGAGAAAAGGAGACATAGTGAAGAACTAAATGACCCATGGTGCATCACACAGAAAAGACAGGATTTTGAGGAAAGGGGAGAGAAAATAAAAATAGAGAAAAATTCATATTAAAGAAAACAACACCTTTAAAGAAAATATATGTGAAAAGGAGGAGAGAGGTGAACAGAAGCAGTAATATCATAAATGCTTGTTGATGGGAACTTGGCGATAAAATAACAGAAATTTGATAGGAAAAACAAACTGAAATTTTCATTAATATCTGTGGATGAAGAAAATTAGATTGATGAAACAAAAATACAGAAGGGGTAGGAGAAACTATTATTCAGATAAAAGGAAAATACAGGGAAGGGAAGAGAAACAGAATTCATTATGAAAAACTCTATGTGAAAAAGCTCTGGTACATATTATCATGTAATTATTTTTTCTTTCTTTTTTGTCTTTTTGAAGTCAGCGGTACATGCCTCCATTAAGAAAGACAATGCTATGTTCATACTTTCTTCTTTGCATAGGCTCCTCCAATATGAATGCATTTAGCTAATTCATAGTGTTGATATGTCACTAATTTTAATAAAAAATTAATTATACTAAAGTAAAATTATTTTTCAATTGAACAATTTTTTTCTGCTTTATAATATTTTTCTTTCTTAATATTATATGTTATATATGAGATACATATATATGACCTCTTCAATATTTTTTTGTTTAGATACAAGATTTAAGGCAGGATTAAGTGGAATATATAAGATGTAGGCTTACTCTCAGATTTCATATACAAGTTTCTTATGCCTTTCATACTTCTAATACAGTTTTTATTTGGTATCTCCTCATAACCTTTTTAATAAATCCATGATTTGATTTTTGGTTTAAGTGGTTTTGTAAGAAGTGGTCTGCTTTCCCAATTCCTTGATCAGATCATTCCTCTTATGCACAATTTGGTAGAATAACTTAGTTCAATGAAGCAGAGCTGGTGTTCTCTTTATAGGTTGTGTTAATGCTGATCTTAGTTATCACATTACAAACAAGTGTTGCTACTCTACATGCACAGATCTGAATGATGAGGGCCGGGCACTGAATGATTAGCATGGGCTGGGAACCCCAAAAATGCCTATTTGCTGCTATAAGGCCAACATCAAGAACTAGCTTTAATCCAATCACAGAGACTGTATGTGTAGAGTTTTGTTTGTTTGTAGCTAACAAACAAAATATTTCTTTCTCCATAGGACCATTATTTGTCCTGTTCTAAGACCTTTACTCACAAATAGATATAAAAGTATATTGAAAAGTAAAAAATAAACACATTGTTATAATATGCTTAGGGGTATTATATACACAGCATACTTCAAAGATTCACAAACAAAAGAAATGAAGAAAGAAATCCAACCAACCTGCAGAATTTGTTGTTCACTCATTAACTGATCGCTCATCAATTATGCTCATCCAAACCCTGTTTTGTTTACTCTATTTGAATATTCTGTTGAAAGCTTTCAGTAAAATCCTTACTGTTAAAAAATGAGAGATACTTAGGTATTCATCTTGCCAGAACTGATAAAAAATAGGAAGTGTTCAACTGCATAATACTAAGCCATTATAAAATTCTATCTTAATTGCAGCTAGTTATGTATATGAGTGGAGATTATTAAAGGGGACACAATCATATATCAGCATTTTTAAACCCACGAAAGATGTCCCTGAATTTTTAACAAAGAGAACAGGCATGAAACCAAAGCACATTACAGATCAAGAATTTTCTTTAACCTAAAACCATGAGAATATTTGCTGACATTGCTTTCAGAATAAAATATCTTTTAATGAGCAAATACATCAGCTAGTAAGGTAAGAGTAAGGAACAGGGAGAAGATTTCAGTATCTGTGCTGGAAAGCAAAGTAATGGCTTCACCTATTTTTGCACTAAGTTTATGTTTAGAGTTTTAGACTGAAAGAGGAGTAAGAAGGGAGATTAAAGTTCTGTCTTCAGTGTACATGGCTCTGTCTAGTTTTTCTTTCATTCGTTTCTTTCTCTTCTGAGAAATGCTAATAAAAGTTTAGTCTATTTACCCTTAAGTAAATTAAGTTTTAAGAGCAATTTGGAAAACTACTGAATAGAACTTTGAAACACAACTGTTCTCTATTCAAGCAAAGGTAATAATGGACCTATTTCCACAACAGCTGGGTACGTGAGGGAAGACTCTGACCTTTTTGAATGAAGCAGTGTCACAGAACCAGTGGTACAAAGTTCTTATTTTAAGGCTACAAGGTACCTTGAAAATTATTACATAAATGTGAACACTGGTAAGGCTGATTTTAAAATCCATTAAGTAAAGAAAGAAAGGAAAAAAAAAAAAAAAATAGTGCTATGCCCTCCCCTTGCACCCTGAGCAAAAGGATCAAAGAGGTGTACATCTTCGTATATTTTTTCCTCTTCCTCAGATTTTTAGTCCTTCTTCTTCTTTAGGCCTCATATGTGGAAAATACACAGAAATATATATCACAACAATGTATCGATAAAAAGTGGATTCTCTTGAAAATCCTTTTCAGGTTTTAGTTAATCTTCAAAAATTAAATAAATTCTAAGTAGGACTAAGAGAAGGAAAAGATGTTAATATTTTTAGTTTAAGAAAATGCCATTAAGAAAACAGAAAAAGTATCACATTATTTCTCATTAATCTTTCTAAAATTGGCAGATTCTTTTGTAATTGGCTCAGTATCAACTCACAGATATATTTACAGGCCAAAATATGCACAATGGCACTAATCCTAATTTCTATTACAACCATGCCACGTTACCAAGCCAAAGAGGGAACCTTTAGGTGTAACAGATAGAACTTGGCCTCTTCACTTCAGAAAATTACTTGCCCCATTGTTTACTTTCCAGTCTTATTATTACGTTACTGATCACAGTGCTCACAGAACTAAAAAGCTTTCAAAGAGATCACAGAGAGTTCATAGCTAAGATATCGTGTCTGTTACTACAAACATTAGACTTTCCATCTATTACCAATAAAGCAAGAGATCTTTTAATGCCAATATGAGGTTTGAATGCCCGTCCTAATAGGATGCTGCTGCATGCTTCCCAATATCCTTCCATTCTTAATTAAATGACCTTTACTATCACTGAGGTAGTTGTTATCCTTATGTTACTACTGCCCTGTCTCCAAAAGATCCATGCTTAAGATGACAGATTAGAAGCCTGCACTTCTCTGTTCATCAGCCATCAAGATGCAAAGCTGACATTTTGCATCTGTCTTAAAATGCTTATTGCCTTTGCCTGGGTATGAACATCAGCTCAGAGGATCTGATAAGGAAACAAGCATCACAGATAATTTTATTTCTAACTACCTTTTTTTTCAAAGACTTGAGAAATAAGGCAAGATTTTCTATACCAGTATAAATGCAGGTCTGAGAACCTGATTCAGGCATTCACACTTTTTTTTTTCCCAATGGTCTCAACATTGCATACTTGAAAAAATGTGTTATGTGGGTCAAAGCATTTCCTGGCATGCATGTTACTGCTGCCACCACAAGTGCCACTTCTTTATAGTTATTCATCAAAATGCTGATTCCAGAGGAGAAACTGTTCTAAAAGTAACCTGCCATCTTCCCTCAGTTTCAAAGCTGGCCTGTGTATTATGACAGCTGTTTTTCCATCTACATGTCAGTATTAAAAGCTATAACTGAAACCCTGCTGCATCTTAGTATTCACTTTGTTTGGATGATAAAGCCATTTTAAAGTCAGACAACTACAGTAGTGGAAAAAACATTATTTTTCATTTGGGAGACACAGTTAATTTTCAATCTACTTTGAAAGCCACTGAAATAAAAATGGCTGATGTTTCATAATAAATATGTTTCACTATCCATGTTATAGACCATGAGCGTGCAGCTTCTAAGAATTTTGCAAGTAAAAGGTAGCATATAACTTTTCCCATATGCTAGTAAACTCACTTCAAAGAGGAGAACCTAGGGGTAGCATTGATGATGATATTTTGCTTTATTTCCATGAGAAAAAAAACCCAGAATTCCAGTTTTCTTAGTTCACTGTTACCAATATAAGCATTTGTAGCATAAGGTAGGATCCTTAATGGTGGCAGATTCCCATGAAGTGCTGCAAGTGAAAATCAGTGAAGAATTGAAGGGTTCACCCAGAATGAGTACTTCAGAGTGAGAACTAACAACTTAGGGAAAACTAAAGACAAAAAAAGGTAGTTTTGGAAAAGCTGGAAGAGGAACAGGCAACAAAACAGCAAAAGTTATTAACAACAATAATTAGCAGAATTCTGTTGACATTTCTCTTTCTGTATTTAATCCATGCTAAGGAAGATATTCTATAGTAGTATTAGCAAAATTTGATGAAGACAAGCCAGTGTCCTACTGAACTGATCACGGGAATAGTGACTAGATGATTAATCTCTTCTTACTCATTTAGTATTGCATTTCTGACTAAGAACACCTAGAATGGCAGATTCCTAACAAAGACATTCCTTCATTATGAATACTTTGCTATTAACAAGTTTGGCTTGTCAGTGATGATAAATTTTAGTTTGGCTCAGTGTTGTTACTTGGTGGTAGTAAAATTAATTTAACAATGACTAGTACTGCTTGGGGTTTTTTTACATTCTGAAAATAATAGTTCAACTCATCCATTCAGAACCCAATCCAAAACCAGTATAAATTAATAAGTTCTATGTGAGCTCAAGTTTTGTGATCTTTTGCCAGTTTCCGATTTATTTTATGTTTAATAGATACTGGAGGCAAATGGAAAGGTTATATATAGAATAGTATTTTATATAGCAAATCATTAAAAAACCCCACAAAACTACTGTAATGCACCAAATCAGCTTTCATTTTCTTTCTGTCCACCAGAAAAGCAGGCAAAAAGCAAAACTTTAATTACTTTTTAAATTTTAGAGATTACATTTCTTTTTTTGCGGGGGGGGGAGGGGTGGTTGTTTAAATAACAGATAATGGAGTGGTAGAGCTGCATATGCATGCCTCCCCTTTCTCAGGGAGATTTTTTATTTTTGGCTTCTCTTAGGACAACAGACATGATTTCAGTTAACTAAGAATTTTACTTCTGATGAGGATTATGAGGATATGGAGAGTTACTTAACAATTCTGCCTCTAGTCTGGTACAGAATGTGCAAAGACTTGGGCCCAGCTAATATTTACCAGCATGGCAAATAAGGACATCAAATTGAAAGATATATGCCACACCCATCGCTGCTGCTGGAAACTGGCCTGTGCATGGAACAACAGTGAACTGAGGGCATTATTCATTCCAAAGCCCTCTTGATTTGCCTGGCACATCACCCAGTCTCTTTTTGAAAATACAAATTATTTGGCTGCAGCTCCTGCAGTGAACCCACAGTTTTTATCCTCCTAAAGGCCTTATCCAACAAAAACCTTACATATCTAATATAAAATTTATGCAAAATGTAGGTAAGAGTCCCACTCAGCAATTTTGAAAACCTCTGACACTGGGTACCAAAGCCCAGGAGGCTCCACAAATCCTGCAGTTACAACTCTAAAGTTCCCTGACCCCTGCTTTTGCAAATGTCCTTGTTCTGAAAGAAAGAAAACCTTCAGTACCTACTGCATGTCTGAGCTCATCCAGGTTCCAGTATGCAGATGTTTCCTCTGCCAAGATCAGCAACAACAGCAATCAAAGTGTTTATGCCTAGGAGAACAGGGAATTTAATGTACAGAGGTTTTGTATAGTTATGTTCTCTGTGCACAGGCAGAAGGGCTCTAACATTTCCAGCATTCAGGATAACTGTTTTCCCAGTAATCTAAGTTTTGTGGTCACACAGTGTATTAAAACCTATCTATCTATCTGGATTTTTTTTTTTCTATACCTTCAGGAAGTGCATTTGAAGAATACAAGTAGAGGGAACACAGGAAACAGAAACTACAGAATGTAAGAACATGCCATCCACAAGAACGAAGAATGAATGTGCCATCTGCAGGATACTTTGCTGTAAATAAATTATTTGTTAAACATTGGAAGACTTAAAAAAACCTATGGTTTAATAAGCTTGATGCAATCTCAACCAATGGGCATTCTCCCAGTGAACAATGCAACTAAACATTCCAATATTAAGTCTTTAGAGAACAGAACATTGTAACTAGCCCAGAGCTAAAAATTTCTGTGGTTGATAGATTACTGTTAACCTGTTTTAAATGTCCTGCACAAAATCTCTTAAAGTCCTGTGCCCCTCAAAAGCCTACAAATTTATGGGCCTTTGATGGATCCAATTGCACTAAATTAACCTATGAACACTGGCTGCTGGAGTCATTCATCAGCCTTGTCTAAGTGGTGGTTTTTTTATTTGCACTTCTATACAAGCAACAGGCTGTTTGTTTTACAGTGTCTGATAACATTGTTTGTCTACCCCTTCATATTTGCACAGTTTGACATTCCCAGTAACAGCAGCAGTAAGGTAACATACAGTTTTAAACATCCATTAATTCCATCTGTGGCATTTTGACAGAATATGGGTTATAGATGCATTTATTTTAAGACAGTTTTATTTTTCCTTCTCTTGCAAAGATGCAGTTTATTGCAATTTGTGAGACAAAAGATTTTTAAAAGCAGTTAAAGCATACATAGGCTCTCAAACCATTAATGATTCTTCCAGGTAATTATTTTGCAACAGTATAGGTAACTTCTTTCTTCCTCCATATAACGCAGTATGTAAAATTTAGCATATCAATAATACACATATATCAAACAGTATGTAAAAATCTCTGTTTTATAGTACAACGGTGCTATTTTATAGTTTGTTACATGAAAGGGTCTGGCCAAAATGGTAACAGGTAAAAGCAAATATGGAAAGATCAAGCCAAAGATCAAATAACAAAACAGTTTTTTAAATATTCAGTTTAAATGAACTAAAATGGCTTCAGATTACAACGTGGAAATAACTTTCCCATATGCAAAAGAAAATTCAGATACTTGTTTCCTTTTAGATGTTTGAATGGTGGTGGTTTCACTTACAGTCATGTGGAACACAAATTCACAGATGCCTAGGCCCAGAGAAGGCCTCAAATTTGAAAAACAGCCCTCAAATGCCTTCAAAGGGTAGCCCATCAGGGCCCAAATCTTTCTGAAACATCAGCACTCTATTCAAATGTAACAGAGGGTTACTCAAGTTCTCTGCCATTTTAATTCTTTCCACAATCAGATGTGACTAAGTTGACTGGTAATTAGGCTGCTGCATCTCTCTGTACATCAGAAAAGGTAAGCTAATCACCAAATTACAGTGTAGAAAGAGTCCCCAAGAAGAGATGAACCTTCGAACTGCTGCTTACAATAGCCTTTCATGCACGCTTGTGTGAGACATGTATTTCTGGATAATCTCTGACATGTAACCTTGATAGCTACTGCACTGATTCTACCTTGACTAACACTGTGTCCTATGCTCCATTTTTGTAAGTCAACTCAGTGCTAGATCGGCCATGCAGTGAAGGGGGATAGGTAGCCAACAGTGTCCCAAGGTGAGCAATAAACTTCTCTCTGAAAGAAGGGAAGAGAAGGCAGGGGACAACACACTGTTCCACCCTGTCCAGAACTGCAACGTGATTCCACTCAACTTCTTCCCCCCCATCACCCTGTACGCGGTAAGCTCAAACAAGGGATGAAGTATCCTTTGGTCAGCCCCGAAGAGGATAGGGAGCGTACTGTATGAAGGGAGCAATTAGGCAGATGTTAGTTTAGATCTGTAAAGGAAGTATCTCTTTTTAAAGGCTCAAATCTGCCTTACTTTCTACTACAGCTGTGGCAGTAGATGGCTGAACTATTGATTAAAACACGAGAAGCATCTCTGCAGACTGCATATTGTACAGCTCCTCAATAGTTTCTTGTGAAACAGACAGGAAAGGTAGGTCTTAAAAGTCTAGCAAATTATTATAGCTCCTTTTTTTATTCCCACAGAAAATCTGGGGTTCGTATTTTTTCCAAGGAAAGTGTGATGTGTTCCTACGCAATCCTTTAAACCCTCTGCTTTCTGTGAGATGCATGTTTATAGGCACAATAGGCTGCCATCACAATGTAAAAGCAGAACAGTGAATGAATAAAAAGAACATGCCACAGCTGTCACTGACTGAGATAGTTATGTTGAAAAAGTACAGAGAAACAGATGGGGAAACTAACCTAAATTATTTACCACCAATTCAATAAACAGAGGTAGCAATTCTGATATCTATCACAGCTCATACACGACATTTTTTGGTGGAGGGGATGGAGAGGGAAGTATTTTTACTTCAGTGGCTGTTAAGAATTCTGAAATGCATTCTAAGAATAAACCGTTATTTTGATGTCACAGACATAATACATACTTCATGTCCTGTGATTCTTTCTATCTCTTATCTCCTCTGAAGTTCGAAGGGGAGGAGGGAGGAAAGATGTGAGCGCAAAAAGCAATTTGCGGATCTCTGTGGTGGCAAGTTTCTTTGTAGATAACATTTTATGGATGCATTGTTAACATAAATTAATAACCACACATCATTGTGCTATTTAATTCCTGTAAATTAATTCACATTTTGGTCTTATCTTGGGATTCATGCACTCGCATTCATGCCACCATATTTCTCCTGTTGAGAAATCATAATTTGAAAATGTCATTCACAGACAGCAATATCTAACATCAGAGCTTGGCAACTGTCTAAACGAATTAGACCAATTCTTGAAAGAAACTACAATAAATATGAATAGCTACAAGCTTCAAAGGCAACACTTTTCTTTACTAGAGAATAAATGATATCACAAAATGGAGAGTAGCTCCACCACCATAGAGATGAGAAATGCATGGATGGGAAATGCACTGTTTTATAAGAAATCTCCAGTCATATGGCAGGGAGCACATGATATACCAGTCAGTGTGAAAGATAAAGGGCTGCATTAGCTTAATAATCTCAATAAATCCGCTACTTAAAGAAGTTGAAGCATGAGCCAAAACATCTCTCTCCCAAAAGTACAAAGTAGTCTGACTTGAAAAACTTCTAATTAGAGAAATTGAAGGGTTCAGCTGGATTTTCAAAAGCACTCCAGATATTTAGGAACAGGGCCCCAGTGGATGCCATTGATAATCATAAATCACTTAAGTGGTAAGGAAAATCCCACTCCCCATCCTTCCATATCATGTAAATCACATGAAAGAAGTCACATATTTTTGCATTCTAGAATAGACATAAAACTCCAATTATTACACAGAATGTCACTGAAGTTAATACATCTCTTTTATCAAGGTAGCAAAATTTGAGCCTCATGTCCGTAGCAACAATAATTAATCATTAAGAGTTTAAATGGAAAATGAATAAATTCTATATTCTGCTCAAAATGTACTTTACAAACCTACACTTAGATTTGTGTGAAAGACTTGTATGAGGCTCAATTGTATCATTCAGTCAAGAGAGAAAAGAAAATCAAATAATGGGATATTGCATTCAGTCCCTGTAGATACACTAAAGGCGGTACCTTTTGCCCAAGACAGATTACAGCGTCAATTCCTTTTTTAAGATTAAAGAATAAATAAAGGGTAGGCTTTCTTTACAGAAGTGAATTCCATACACAACTAGTAGCTATGTTCAGTTGCCCCATGAGCCAGTTGTTAACTTAGTATCAGTGGTTAAAGTTGATTAATGAAGACTCTAGGCCAAGCACTGAGTCTTCTTGATTCTCCATTTTAACAAGAAAGTGCGTGATAAACAAGTTCAGAGAAGTGTATGCATATTTACTTTACCTGTTACTGATTTGGCCAACAATGCCAAAGTGGTGCTATTGTTTTGTTTAAGAAAGTACTTGACTAAAATATAAAAGAAAGCATAAATATTTTTTTAATGTATGAAAATGACAATTATATAGGTATGGTTATTAAAATAGAAATACAACTAGCCATAACTTTTCAACTTTTTGTCACTCAGCAAAGGCAAAGAAATCTTAAATCAATGGAGATGGGGCAGGAATAAGAGTCAAAATGCCACAAAAATTCATAGACTTGAAATGCAATTCTGAATCTTTACTCCAAGTCAGAAATACAGATGAAGAAAAGCATTTAAAGTCAGGGAACAATGGATATGACTGAAAGCCTGTTCAGATTAATGAGAGTCCTATATCATACCAAAGATTTTTAAGCCACAATCTAGCCTGAAATCAGTGTAGAGTTTGGCTTAAAGTCAGTGGCATGATATGATGGAGACTTTCATTAAGCACATGTTTTTATTTTTATCTGATTACCTTCTCACTCATGCCATGCCCCCTAAAAGTCAATATTCTTTGGGGGGGAAAAAAAAAAAAAACACAAAAAATGCATCTGATTTTAACAAGGAACAAAAAAATAAAAATTCTTAACATGAAACTGATGCTATTTTTAATTCTCATCAGTTCCAAATTGTGAGAAAAAGTTGAAATGTATGGCTAACAGTCTGTGATTTTTGTTTTTATTTTTTTTTTTTAAACTTTATGTGGTCACTATGAACATCCTAATGTGCACAATTTCACATTTCATTGTTTTGTTTTGAAATGATGGTAAGTTAAGCCCAAATAGAGATTCTTGGAACCTATAGGCTAGATAGAATACTTATGTTCTGATGAAGGTATAATCAATATATTTAAAATGTTTTATTTTTAGTCTGAAAAGGAATAGTAATAATTTATTTGGGGACTCAACCTATACTGGTCCCTCTTTTAAGGATACTGTTCAGTGCAAACAAGTCTTCCAAATGCTAAACTTCTATTCAAACCCAACACTCATTCCTCCCTCCCCCTTCCCCCAGCAAACCTAGTTAAAACACTATTGCAATATAATTTTATTGTTTGTCTGTTTGTTTTATTGGGGGTTGTTTTGATTTGATTCACTTTGCTTTGATTTGGGGGGCAGGGGTAAGGAGGAGGAGATGAGGCTTTCAAGCGATTAAGAATTTTTCCTCTTGGGTATAATCCACAAAAAATAAAGAATTTGCCTTGATGAGATTACTAATTATCCAATTCATGTGTGGAAGTAGCATTAAGTAAAGCAACTAGATTAAAGTTGTCTTGAAAGAAGGAAAAAAGTTATTAACACAAAGTTTTTACTCATTCAAATCCTACACTATACATTTTGCTTCTCACAGCATTGGAATATTCTACTGGACTATAACTGTCTGAACACACAGTATCTGATATATATAAATCTTTGATTTTTTACATGAAGGGTGTTATGGGAATATCTGAAACTTGATTACATATAGTACAGTATAGAGATACCAGTCTAGCAGAGACCAAAACAAGAAGGACCTCCT